TCCTCCTCCTCCTCCTCCTCCCCCTCCTCCTCCTCCTCCCCCTCCTCCTCCTCCTCCTCCGCGTCCACGCCAGGCGCCCCGCCCGCCCACGCGGGGGGCGCATTTGCGCGTGTCCGCAGACGCTGCCGCAGCCCCCGCGGGGCAGGGCCCGGCTCAAAGTCTGGGTCCGAGTCCGGGGCCGAGGCGGGGCTGCCGCTGCCGCTGCCGCCGCCGCTGCCGCTGTCGCCGCCGGGCCCGTCGCCGGGCCCGCCGCCGGGGCTGCCGGCGCTCAGGCCGCTGCTGCTGCTGGAGAAGAGGCGCCGGCGCTCGCGGGCCGGGGAGAACCAGGGCGCGGCCGCCACCCGGGCTCGCGCCCCGCGCCCGGGGCCCCGCCGCCGCCCGCCGCCCAGGCCACCATAGGTTCGGAGCAGCCGGGCCTGGGGCCGCGGGGCCCGGGACGCCGCCATCGCGCCCGCCCAACGCCCGGCGCAAGCCCAACGGCCGCAGCCAGGCTGGCCGCTCACGCGCAAGCGCACCAGAGCGCGCTGGCTCCTGCCCCAGAGGCCGCTGAAGTCCCGGGGGCTCTGCTTCCGGACTCCGAATCTCCCGCCGGCCGTGCTCGCGCCGCATTTGCGCATGCGTACTCCTAGGGGCCGCCCCAGAGGCGGCTACGCCCGCCCCCTCTCCGTAGCCGAGGGCCTTGGATTGGCAGGCACTGACAGGAGGGCCCCCTCCGCTTCCCGCCCACACAGCTGTGCGCATGCGTAGGGAAAGCGGGGAGGGGGGGCCCCCCCCCGCTCACTACCTCCAATAGGCTTGCGCCGGAGCAAGTCTATGGGCGGAGCCAGAGGCTGGGTTGGCTGAGGCGCCTTCTCCTCTTTCCCTCGCTTTCCAGGCCGATTCGAAATGCAGCAGGGAACTAGGATGCAAGGCCCGCTGCCCAGAAGGACCCGCCGAGGCACCGGTGAGTGAGATTCGCGCCTTGCACCTAGGAGGGCCTCCAGCCCAGCCTTCCGAAGCCCCGCCCCCGAGGCGTGGCCGCCAGACCAGGGAATCCAGAGCCCCGCCCCCGAGGCGTGACCGCCAGACCAGGGAATCCAGAGCCCCGCCCCCAAGGCGTGGCCGCCAGACCAGGGAATCCAGAGCCCCGCCCCCAAGGCGTGGCCTCACATCCCTGACTGGGGCTTGGGGGGAATCCCCAGCCCGGAAGGGCCGGGGGTCTTGGTGTGTGCCTTTGGCCGTCCCTCCTCTGACGGCCAGTCTGTCCTCTCCCTGGCCAGGACCTTCGATGGCTGCGGCTGCGCTGCGCGCTGTCCTCTGTCCCCTCCAAAGTGTGGCTGGGGGCGGAGCTGACCCCGAAGGTAAGGCAGGGAGGGACCTTCGGGAGGGGAGCAGAGCGGGGCGAGGCGGCCCCCCACCTGCCTGATCCCCCTTTCCCCGCCGCAGCTGCCGGGGGCCCTGTCGAAGCTGTGCATCCCCGCTGAGATCTCCTTCGACGGAGCCGTGTACGAGAGCCAGGGTCCAGGCAGCCTCTGGAGCTCGGTAAGGGGCTGGAGGGAGCCTGGGGGGGGGGGGCGGGAGGGGCTGGGGACCCGGCTAAGGGGGCTGAAACCTCCTCCGAGAGGCTGTTTGCACCAGGCTGTTAGGGGACATTTGAACTCCTGTGCACTCCCATGAGATTCCTAATGAAAACACTGGGTGGGCCAAAAAGGCCATAGAAGAGTGTCCCCCCCTTGGTCTTCTTTCACAAGGTCTCCACCTGCCAGGGCAGAGCCCAGGGTGAAGGGAAAGAGGCACCTTCTCTTGACCTTGCTACGAAATGTCCCTCTCGCCCCGGGAGGTCATCGATGGTGCCTCGGGGGCTGGGAGTTGGACCCTGGCTGGCCTGTTAAGGTGCCCTTCCTCAGCTCCCCTGAAAATGAAACGGAATTAGGTTTTGAAAGTCTTGGGAGCATCTGAAAAAGGTTTGTCTGCTGTCTTGTGGACTTTCTGTGGCCCATAGGGCTGCAGCAGAGCGTGCCTCTGGCTGTAGGAGGGCCTCCGTTAAATCCCGTGGGTCACTTGAGGCCTCTCGGAGGGGATGGCCAGTAGAACAGAAAGCGCGTGGCCCCTGCTGAACATACGGGAGGTCCTTAGGACAACTTAACTCCATACATATTTGTGGACCTGCCTCGGGGCCTGCCCATCATTTCTCGGAGCATCCTTTCCATGCAGAAATGCAAAGCTAGGCAGAATCCTTCAAGTCCAAACGAAGCTCAGGTGGTATTTAATTGAACTGAGAGCAGGAGGCCATGCTGCAGACCCTGCTTGGATGCCTCCCTGGACAGGTAGCGCACTGCCTTGGAAGGCAGCAGAGTCTATCTGTGAAACATCTTCCGGACAGTGACGACCAGAAACACGGGGACTGTGGGAGTGGGAAGGACTTGTGCCAACGCTTGTAAGAGAGAGTAGGGGAGCATTCGTTCAAGTGTCTCTTACCCTGTTTTATAAAGCATGAACAGCCCACATTGATGTAGCAACATAAGGGTTGCAAATGTTTCCTTTACAAATATTATCTCATGGAATCCTCACAACAATCCTGGGAGGGAAGGAGGGGCTATTATTATCCCCGTTTTACAGATGAGGAAACTGAGGCAGGCAGGTTCAGTGACTTGCCCAGGGTCCCACAGGGCCTGTGCCCTCTCCACCGCAGCACCCTGTAGTACCCTCGAACTTCTGGAGAAGTTCTGGAGAAGGTGTGGTGTCCTTCCCCTTGGGGTTACCCAGCGGCTGGTTGGCTCTGTCTTCCAGATCACCGTTATTCTGCTGAAGACCCCCGGCTTCCGCACCTTGCCCATCGTTCTTGGGAGCAGCGCTGGTGGAATTCTGCTGCTCTTTGGAATCGTCGCCGTGCTTTGGAAGGTGTGTGTGTCCTCTTGGGAGGGTGCAGACTGTGGCTGTTGGGCAGAAGGGGGATGAGACCAGTCATGAAACGTTTGTTAAACGCCAAGCCGTGCCAGGCGCCGTGCTGAGGACAGGCCCTGCCCTCAAGGGACTCAGAAGGGTCTACTAGGATTCTGAATGGTCCTTCTGACATTAGTGGGAATGTGTTGAAGCCCATTGAGATTGGTGGAATGGCGGCCCAGTGGGACTGGCGACTTTTTGATGGGGGCTAGCCAGGCAGGTGTAGAAGCCAAGGGAGAGTTATTTTCATAGTGGCAGAGAAGATGAGGGTCTGCCTGGGAACCAAGCCGCTATCCACTTTGGAACCTAAAGAAATAAATGCCGTTCATGTTGGGTGTTCCACATCGTTCTGGACCCTGTTGGCTACCAGGGAGGGGACAACAAATAGGCAGGTCCTTGGTAGACACAAGGAGCCTTGGCTGGGAGAAGGGTACTGGGCCAGGGTGGGGGGAGGGGTGCAGTAAAGGGCCGAGATAAGTTGGTTTGGGCTCCACCTTGACCCTGCGCCAGCATGGAAGTCAGCCTGCTAACCAGGGCCACACACTGGCGGTCTTCTGTGGGTACCAAATGGTTTTCTTTGGCCTCTCCCAGTTACTTCTCTCCCCCGTCTCCCACCCCCAGTGTTGTTTCTGTGGGAAAATGGGCTCCAAGCTGTGAGACCCCAAGCTTCTCAGAAATCCTTGGAACCCACAGGCACTGCTCCCAAAGAGCCACACTTTCTTTGGTTGCCTCCCTCTTTGCTGAGTACCTCCTACGGTGGGTCCCCCTCAGACAGCGATGCCTGGTATAGCTGGCACAGCCTGAGAGGTTCAGAGCACCCACTGTGGGCCGGATATACACACACATACACACATATGTGTCCCCAAGACCTCCCCCAAATATCAGGAGCCCCTTTGCTGATGGGTGCCTCTTGTCTCTGACGCTGCTTTCCTTCCTTTTTTGTGGTGGTGGACGTTGCAGTGTGGCTTTTTTAAGAGGAAATACCAGGCTGCTACCTCAGGCAGTGCCAGAAAATCAGAAAAATCAGAAAACCTGCGCCAAGCAGAGGAGTAGGGCCCTGCTCCTTGGAATCAGGGAGGACGAGGCTCAGCAATCGGTCGTTCTTGTTTGATGGCATCATCCATGCACACCCTCTGACCTGGCAACACCACCGCTAGTTCTGTATCCCCAAAGAGATAAAAAAACAAAGGAAAAGGACCTACATGTACAAAATCTCTACAGCAGCTCTTTTCTGTTATATGATTGTGATGGAATATTATTGTGCTGTAAGAAATGATTAGCAGAATGCTCTCAGAAAAACCTGGGAAGACTTACATGAACTGATGCAAAGGGAAGTGAGCAGAACCAGGAGAACATTGTACACAGTAACAGAAATATCGTATGATGATCTGTGAATGACTCAGCTTTTCCCAGCAATACAATGATCCAAGACAATCCCAAAGGACTCATGATGAAAAGTGCCATCCTCCTCCAGAGAAAGAACTGATGTTGCCTAAATAAAGATTGAAGCAGACTTTTTTTTTTACTTTATTTTTGTTTTTTTAATCTATATTTTCTTTTACTATGTGACTAATATGAAAATATGTTTTGTATATCTATACGTGTATAACCTATATTAAATTGCCTTCTTAATGAGGGTAGTGGGGAGGGAGGGAGAGAATTTGGAACTCAACATTTTAAAAACAAATGTTAAAAATTGTTTTACATGTAATTGGAGAAAATAAAATACTAAATAAATTTTTTTTTTAAATTTAGCTTTCCATAAATTACTTGGGATTCACTCTGCCAAGACAAACCCAGGAATAAAACACTTTTCACACCAATAAAGACAACTAAACAACTGGTGAAATATTAACTGCTCATGGGTAGGCCAAGCCAATATGATAAGAATGACAATTCTACCCAAATCAATTTATTTATTCAGTACCATACCCATCAAACTACCAAAAAATTATTTTATAGAACTAGAAAAATACATAACAAAATTCATCTGGAAAAAGAAAAGGTCAAGAATATGAAAAAAAGCAAAGGAAGATGGCCTAGTAGTACCAGATCTCAAACTGTATTACAAAGCTATAATCGTTAAAACAATCTGGTCCTGGCTAAGCAATAGAGTGGCAGATCAGCGGAATAGTTTAGGTACACAAGACACAGTAGTCAATGACCATAGTAACCTAGTGTTTGATAAACCCAAGGACCCCGCTTTGAGGATAAGAACTCACTATTTGACAAAAACTGCTGGGAAAACTGGAAAGCAGTTTGGCAGAAACTAGGAATAGACCAACATCTCCCACCATATACCAAAATAAAGTCTATATGGGCACATGATTTACACATAAAAAGGTGGGGGGGGGAGATTTGTACAGCAATTGTCTCTGATAAAGGCCTCATTTCTCAAATATATAGAGGACTGAGTCAAGTTTATAAGAATACGAGTCATTCCCCAATTAATAAATGGTCAAAGGATGTGAACAGACAGTTTTCAGAAGAAGAAATCAAAGCTATCTGTAGTCATATGAAAAAATGCTCTAAATCACTACGATTAGAGAAATGCAAATTAAAACAACTCTGAAGTACACCTCACAGCTATCAGATTGGCTAACATGATAGAAAAAGAAAATGGCATGCTGGAGGGGATGTGGAAAAATAGGGACACTGATGCATTGTTGGTGGAGCTGTGAGCTGGTCCAACTATCCTGGAGGACAATTTAGAGCTATGACCAAAGGGCAATCAAACTGTGCATACCCTTTGACCCTGCAATGCTACGGCTAGGTTTGAATCCCAAGGAAGAGGGAAGGGAGAAAGGAAGGAAAGAATTTAGAACTCAAAATTTAAAAACAAAATGAATGTTATGTTTTTACATGTAATTAAAAAAAATATAAAATTAAGAGAAAAAGAAAAAAAAACAAAAAGATTTAGCCATGCTACCTGGCATTTGCAGGGGCTAAAGGGATCCCCTGTTATTGTAAAGGCAATCATGAAATGGGGTTGCTCTGGCAGTGTGGAGGACAGGGGAGAGGGTCACAATTGCTGAGCAGAACACCCCCAGGCTGGGCCTCTCTGGCCAAGGTGACAAGGATGTTGTCCCTAAGATGTGTTGGGCTTCTGTGTATGTGGTCCCTGAAAAACAGAACTAGAAGAAAGACCTCAGAGTCTCTCCCACCTGAGGGCAAGGTATGGAGAAATTCCAGGGCTCTTGCCAGAGCCAGCAGACAGAAGAGCCAGATGGCCTCTGGAAGTCGGGGTAGGGGAGCCCTGCCCCCAGGACTCTCAGTCTGCTAGGGGACCCCAAACCTCGTGCTTTGAATATACACAGATATACTTAGATATGTTAAAAGCAACTGGTTTTGAATGAAACAAAAAGGGCCCAGCTTGCTTACTTTCTAAAAATCAAGTTGAGCAATTAGAAAGAAGGAGGAGGAGAAGGAAGAGGGGGAGGAGGAGGAGGAAGAGGAAGAAGGCAGACCTAACATGCAGAATGGATGGTAACACAAAGGGGATTCTTGTGTCAGGGCTGGGCTGGGAGGTGGGGCTAGGGAGCTTCCTCCCCGGTCTTTGATCAGCAGCTCCCCCAGCCCAGACCCTACAATAAATAGGAAGTGTCCTACCCCCAGGCCATGGGGCCCCTGGCCACCCTCAGCTGGTGGGTGGGCCCTTTGCCAGGCTGCCAATCCTGCCTGGCATGTGAGGGCTGCCTCTCTTCAGGGAGGGCCCACCCCTCCTCTTGCGGTGAGGCCAGAATTTTCTCCAAGGCTAACACAGCCCACCTGGCATTTGGGCTCAGGTAGAGGAGTCAGGCCCAGTCTCGGTTTTCAGACGCCCCAAGCTTATTACAAGTTATTTTAGGATTCCTGTCAAATCCCCCAAAGCCATGTTCAGGAGCCACTCTTGGGTCCTCTTAGGGACAGCAGGGGGCTGGGTGCCCACTCTCAGTCATCATCTCATTCCCCTCCCAACATCATGGATTCCCACAGATAAGCATCCACCGGTTACATCTGTCCTGCGAGCATTGGCCCCATTTGGCCAGTCTTAGACCCCACGTCCTTTCTGAGCCTGACTCTGTCCTAGGCTTTAGGTTGTCATGACACGAGGGGTGCGGGTGATGCCGGAATGATGCCTCCTGCTTGGGCTCTATTAATAATGGGCCACCCCTTCTATTTATGGCATCCATTTGTCACGAGTCTCTTAGCAGCCTCTACCCACATTCCTTTGGTGGAGCATTCCCCGCCCATCTGCTCCTCTGTTGCTTGTCCTGGATGTCTGCCTTATTCTCGCTGTGAATCTGCAGCTGAAGGACGGCCTGGGTCAACCCTCCCTCCAGAGCTCAGCGCTGGGAGGCCTTTCGGCTCTCCACCCTGGAGGGGCAGCCCCTTTGGCCTGGACGACTTGCCTCCTCTGCCCGTGCTCTACTATCATGTGGGAGGAAGAAGTCTGGACTCCAGACTAACCTCAGTTGGCCTCCCCACAGCCACTGCCCCTAACTCTCTCTTCCTCCTCCTCGGTCCTCTGTCCCACTTCACCAAGAAGATGGCAGCCCTCACCAACCTTCCTCGTCTTTCAATCTCAGAGATGAGTTGGCCATCCTCCAGCAAGGGTGACCTCCCCCATGTGCCTCGACCCCCGCCTGCCAGGTCCTTGATCATTCCTCGCCATCTTCGGTCCCTTCTTGGCTCTGCCTTCTCTCCAGCCCGACACCCAAAGCTGCCTCCCCTCCAGCCACCAGCTTGTCTTTCTCTTCCTCTTCACTGCCGATACCATGAGCCTTCAACCCTTTGAGCCAGGCTTCTGACCCCACCACTCTGCTGACATTGCTCTCTCTAAGGGTGCCAGGGACCAGCCTCATTTGGTCCTCTCTCAGTCCTGGCCGTGGGCCACACTTTATTCTGCCGACCACGCCTCCTCTGGGTCCTGGGGCTTAGCTCTGGTGATGCTCTGCTCTGCTGAGTCATTGTCTCTCTTTCTGCCCCCTAAATGTGGGTGTGCCCAAAGCCTCCAGCGCAGCCGTCCCCTGCGGACCTCCCCTGCTCCCGAGTGTTCAGGTATCACCTCTGTGCAGATGACACCCCAGTCCTTGCACCTAGCCCCACGCTCTCACCTGAGCTCCCCGAAGACCTGCATTTTCAGCTGTTTGGGGGTCAAGCCTCTCCAATCAGAAGCCCTTCTAGGGCCTCAGCCACCAAACTCTGCCCTGTCCCCTCCACTCACCCCACCCCCAAGCCTGCTGCCTTCTTCCACATTTCTGTCCTGCTATCAGCTACCTCCCACTCAATCTGGGTTTCTTGGCCTTTCCTCCCCTTCCCTTGCCTCCCTTAACAGGGCTCTATCCTTTGGCACAGTACTCAGAGCCCTGGGCCCAGAGTCAGGAAGACCTGAGTTCAAATCCCGCCTCAGACATAGACTAGCTGAGAGACCCTGGGCAAGTTACTTTATCTCTGGTTCAGTTTCCCAACTGTAAAATAGGGATCGTAACAGCCCCATGTCTCAGGATTGCTGTGGATAAAGTGCTCAGCACAGTGCCTGGCATATGGCAGGCACGTAAGAAACGCTTGTTTCCTTCCTCCCCTCCCCCTCCTCAGCCATCCCCATCAGCTGCCAAGGCCTGCTGGCTTTACCTCCCCGATATCATCAAGTTGGTGGCCTCTTAACTCATGGGGGCCCTACCTTGTTCAACCCCTTAGTACCCAAATTGGGGCCATTGCAAGGGCCTCCCAGCCCATCTCCCTGCCCCGGGCGCTCCCTCCAATCCTGCTCCTTTAAAAGCCCCCACCCCCACTCAGAAAGGTCTGACTATCCCGCAGCTGCTTACTGCCAATCTCAATGGCTCCCTGTCGCCCTCTGGTGGCAGTCATAGTCTCCCATCTCCCACACTGCCTTCCCTTAACTGATCTTGTCCTGCCTGCTGCATAGTTCCGTCATCTGCTCCCAGAGTTTCAATGATCACTTCTATACAGATGACTCCCAGAGCTACAGATCTAGCCCTAACCTCTTTCTGGGCCTCCAGTCTCACATTGACGCTGCTGGCACAGCAGCTGGCTGTGGACACAGCTGGCAATAATAATAGCTAACTTTATACAGCACTTTAATGTTTATAAATGTTATCTCTTTTGGTCCTCACATAACCCTGGGAGGGAGGTTTGATTATTATCCTCATTTTACAGATGAGGAAGTTGAGGCAAACAGAGATTTAAGTGACTTGCTCAGGATCACAGAGCTAGTAAGTGTCTG